CCTCGGTTCTCTGCATCCCTATCTTAGAGGTCTTCACGTCCTTTGCCACAAAATCTTTTTCAGCTTACTCACCTTAAGGCTTAGCTTGCTGACTGGGCATGGATATGAAATAAGCTGAGGATGGAACTTTCCTTGCCAGAGCTGTGAATCTGGACCATTTCATAGGAGGAGGTGTGCTTATTCAGGAAGAACAGCAGTTCCATGTGCAAAACATCCAAAGAGCCACAAATGTGCATTAAAATAAATAACCTCAGCATAATTTCTCTGACTCCTGAGCTATGCTGCCAGTACCTCGCAAGTTGACAGTGAGGAGACTTTGTGCCACATGGTGCTGTGTGTAACTTTAAACAACACAGATGGTTTCTTGTGAACACCAGTAACAATCTGCTTTGGGAAATGAAGTTAAGGAATCGGCTCCTCTAAAATCATTGTTAGTTTTTCTGCAAATTCTAGGTAAGCATATGTTAGGTAAGCATTAATTATATATGCGCCAGCAATGCCCTTACCATTGGGTAGAGTTAATGACAAGCAAGAGTAATCTCTGCTGTACATGAGTTTAACCCTTAATAGTCCATCTTCATTTTTAATAGTCACTTATGTATCTTGTATTACTTTGCTTGGTTTATTCTTTTGTTGTATTTTTTGTTTTGTTTTTGTTTTGTGTTTATGCCCATGTTCCCATTTCAGAGAACAATATCCTCTAACTGATGAGCAATTGGTTTCAGGGTAAGACCAAACATTCTAAACAATCACCTCTGTCTAGAATGGCTTTCTTTCCTCACCAACCTTTAATTGTGCTTTCTTTCTGATTTCCATTTTATAATGAACATTGAGTTAATTTGAACTATATATTAAATTACAATGTACATAGGAAATGTATTGCCAAGATTTCTTGCTAGGTGATTTGAAAGGTCATACACTGCAGGAAGCTCAAAAATGTTAGTATTCAATGAGTGGGCCCATACTGCCCTTTCTGTTGGGTTATAGAAAAGTAGGCAAACCCACAAGAATCCATGCCTGTGTCAATGGAGGTGCTGAAAAGCCCTCAGAAAACTCCATGGAATTGGGTCTGGGGTCATGTATCACCAAACACATATTTCATCTTAGTATTTAATTGCCAAGCACTAAATCAGCTTCCTTCTAACTAGCAATTGATCACTTTAGTGGACAGCAGCAAGTAGTCAGAGCAGGAGCGATGCACAGTAGCTTTGCACTGTCTTAGCTGTGCAGATACAAGCACAGAGAGATGAAATTGCTCTCAAGCTGCATCTGTATTTTATGTAGTTGTCTTCTCCCTAGGCCAAATAATAGATTGTTTGTTAGTTTTTCCCTGCTTTCTCCCTACTCCTTGAAACTCCTGGCACAAATTCCACCTGTCAGTCATGGCCTGGAATCTCTTATTGGGCAAAGATGGTTGTGTCTATTTGAGGGTGTCGTTCCCCCCCCTTCCCCCGCAAAATGAAAATAAACATAAAACTATTGTTTAGTCAGTTGTAGCAGTTCCACTGGTGATAGCAATAGAGGCAGTAAGCCATTGCTTTGCTTCCAATGTTAGCTGCTCTATTGTCTGCTGATAATACCTCTGATGGCGTAGTAGTGGTGAGAGATTTCTGGTTTAAAAAAATCCCAAATGCTAATGGAAACTAGGGATGTTAAAATGTGTTTAATCAAGTAAACGTGTAACTGCTGAAATTCAGTGCTTACATGCAAGGTTGAGGTGGGGGAGCAGGACACACTAAATTGAATGCTGAGAAGTGCCCCATCAATGCCAGTACTCTTCCTCCTCGTGAGAAATAGGGGAAGCTGCATTTCTCTCATCATCCTTCTGCTATGGTGACAAAGTCAAATTTTGAATTAAGGTTAGTTGACTCCAGTCAAGCAATTAACATAGCTGGAGTTGCCTATCTTAGTTTGAACTTACCCCCTAGTGTAGACATGGCTTCAGGTAGACTATTACAAATCATTGAGGGCTTTATAGTTGAAACCAAACCCTTGACCTCTACCTTGAAGCCAACCAGAAACCAGTGCAGTGTATTACAGCGTATTCAAGACCAGCTTCACCTTCTGAATGGCCTGACTGTGCAGCCCCATGTTGAGTGTGTTTCAGTAGCCTAATCTTAAAGTTACAAAAGCCAGCATAATTGGTCTAGGTCCCACAGTCAAGACTTTTCTTTCCAAGGACAGAAAAAAATGCCCACTTATCAGCACTTAGCCCTCTCTACTCTCCAGTTTGTCATCCATTGTGTCCCAGCCCGCTTTAAGATTTCCCCCCCATTCCACTGAGAGCCCCCTAATTAACACAAACTAGTGATGCAGGGGATTTTTCACAAACGGCCACTTGGAGTGTTTTTTATAGTAGCAACTGTTTTCAGGGAAGCTTGTTCTAGCCAGTTCAAAGCAGGGGTAGGGAATCTAAGGCCCGGGGGCCAGGATGTGGCTCCCAGCTTGCCTGCATCTGGCTCCTGAGGCTCAGGGCTCCTTCCCAGTATTGGGGAGCATGTGCTGGCACTTCAGCCCCCTGCTATCTCACCATGGGGCTGGAGCACACAAAATATACTAGCCTGGGGGCCCCAGGCTCTGGTGAGAGAGGGGAATGTGGGGAGTGGCCCCCAACCCAAAAAAGGTTCCCCACGCCTGGTTTATAGAAACTACAATTTTTTTCCTTTCTGAATTCATATATGTAGTTGAACATAGATATGCTGTTCATGAAATGATGATTCAGTTGGCTTTGAGGCTCTGGGATTAGTTCATCTCCACTTATGCCTAGGGCCCTAACAAATTCACAGCCATAAAAAAACATGTCACAGACAGTGAAAACTGATCTCTGGTGTGCTCTTACCCTATACTATACAGATTTTATAGGGGAGGTTAGCATTTTTCAAATTGGGGTCCTGAGCCAAAAGGGAGCTTCAGGGGGTCACGAGGATATTCTAAGGGGGTTGAGCTAGTGCCACCCTCACTTCTCCTTTCAGAGCTGGGTGGCTGGAGAGCAACAGTTGTTGGCCAGGTATCCAGCATGATGGCAATGTCTTGCTAACAACAGCGCAGAGGTAAGGATGCCAGTACCATACCATAACATACTCTCATGTGCTACTGCCTTCAGACCTGGATGGCTGGAGAGAGACAGTTGCTGACTGAGCCCCCAGCTCTGAAGGCAGCAGTGCCAAAATCAGGGTGGCAAAACCGTATCGTGCCATTCTTACTCCTGAGTTGCTGCTGCTGCTGGTTCTACCTTCAGAGTTGCACTCCTGGCTAGCATTCACCACTCTCTAGGTGCTCAGCTTTAAAAGTAGTGCTGCTGCCAGCAGTTGCACAGAAGTAAGGTTAGGTGTCCCATAATCCCTCTCTACAATAACCTCATGTCTGTGTGTCAACTCTTTCGCATCAGGACCCCTACAGCTACAACATCGTGAAATTTCAGATTTAAATAGTTGAAATACTGTTTTTAAAATTCTATGACCATGAAATTGACTAAAATGGACTGTGAATTTGGTAGGTCTCTACTTATGTCCATATCCCAGCTTCATTCCATGGAACTGTCTCCTATAGGCTTCAGTACTGCTCTCTTATGAGCAGTTATGGGGTTTGAAAATGCAGTGCACACGTACTCCCTCCAAAAGTGTGAGGGCCGTCATGACCCTAGATACCTGATATTTAATAGCTCAGGGGTATCCTCAGATCTCATAGCCTCTATGGCAGCTGCCAAAGCCATTGGGTCAGCATAGACCTTCAGTAGAACGAGGAATATTCTCTGTACTCATAACGGAAATGGCCAGAATGCTAAATGAAAGGAAATACAGCTGCCTGTGCAGGGTTAATATTTTTTTCTTAATTCCTTGATAGCTCATCAGAGCTAGACCAGAAATCTTTCTTAAATGAGTAGCTTTCTTGAGCAGTAAGGGCTCATTTGCCGAGGAGAGATAAAAGAAATGCTGTGCACACCCATGGTCCGCCCTTTTCTTTAGGTGATACAGTGTTATCTGGGATACTTGCATTGGGAAGGGGGATGGGGGAATATGCGTGCACACATAGTAGAAGCTGTAAGTACAGGAATTTAAATATATCCGTTGATTTTGTTAAACTCTCACCAGAGTGTTAGCTTAAATGTCTTCCCTTTGGTTGCAGCTTGGCTGCTTTGAAGAGGGCAGTTGAGGAAAGACCATGCAGTAATAAAACAAAAGTTTATACAATCCCTAAATGGGGGGAAAAAAGATTCATATGGTTGCAAAATGAAATCCATTGTACTTTGTTCTGAGCTCCTCAGACAATGTAGTAATGGATGTGATATAAAACCCTAATTAGATTAGAATGATGTAAAGTCTCCCACAGCCCTGTCAGTAGAGTTGCAAAGTTCCTTCTAATAGCTTTTTATGGTGGGGATTTGCAGACTTTTGAGCAGTATATCTTTACGGTGGGATTCTCTTGTGGACGCTTGCCTACATGTTCATGGATCACATTCTTGCCCACTCATAGTACCATTACATTCCTGGGTCAACATAGGAAAGAATGTATTGTATTGTTACTACTTTGAATGTCACTGAGTAGTTGGGGATAAGGGGAGAGAGTACTATGTGACCAGTCAGCTGTGTGGCAGGCCGCTATTGGTCTGACCCCCGTGTATCTCTCATGGCAGTACATTTGAATCTGACCACTGTGTTTAGAAGAGATGGAATAGGTAGTGGATTTTTTTATTATAATCCAATAATAATCCACCCACCCACACATTTGGGAAGTTAAAGATCATTGTTTATTTGAGTGAATGTTATTTTGATACCTACCTGCTTAGTCAGTTCATTAACCTGCAGCTAAATCCAGGCAATGGCTAACTTGAGCGGGTTTTATATTTTTGCAAGCAAATGGCATCTAATCTTTCTCAAAGCATGTCATTAAATAAGCATGAATCTTCATTCTTTGCCTTTGATGCTTTTCATTTTATCATTCTGGTGATCTGAGAGATGTAATTGTATGGAATTATTAATTTTCATAATTGAATGCATTGAAGGTGTTCTGGTTTAAATATGCAATTTAAAGCACTCTTAAAGTTTACACAAATAAAATCTATTTCAGTTTGGGGAATATTTTTAGGGTGTGCTTTTTAGTAACTATAGTAACTTGTTTCCACTTTTGAAGGTTTTCAGATATCATCCTGGCAACAATTTTGGCTACCAAATCAGATATGTGTGGCAAAAAATTTGAGCTGAAGATTGATAATGTCCGTTTTGTTGGCCATCCTACCTTGCTGCAGCATGCCCTTGGGCAGGTATGGTAAGAGCGCATCTGGGGCATTGGGAAACATTTTTCTCCTGACAAATGTTATATGGACACGATTTTATGAGATTTGGAATTCAAAATGTACAGCATTGCTTTGAAACTCTGTTTTAAGCCTGTGGTTTTGGAAGCTTTTGCCTTTGTTTATTTTCTGATGTTAATGCCAAATGAATTTTGTCTATACTGGGAATATTTCACAAAAAAAACTTCTTAGTGGCTCAATACTGGTTCAGTTGCACCTGAACTTAATATTAAATAGAAACCCTAATGCAGATAGGGCTGCAGTGGACCACATCTGTGTTTATCGCTCTTCTTGTTAAATTGCATTTTTGGCAGGTTTAACTAAACAATGATAAAAATGATAAACATTCTAGAAGCCACCTTAGCCTTGTCAATACTATTGCTCCTAACAGCGCTAAGGCTGGTTTTTCAGGATATGGTTTAGAACATTTGTTTTTACAGGTCTCTAACTTGACCACCCTCCCACCTACGATTCTATTCAGAAAAACAGAAAACTAAGATATTCTTTATGTAACTAGAACCAGAGCAAATAGAATTTGGGCAGCATTCCACCACAATTAGGCAATTGCAAATCTGGTAGCTTTTCAATTTAATTTTCATCCATTACACTTATAAACACTTTGGGCAACTGAAAACTCTTTAGGATCAGGCATGGAAAATGCACAAATCAGATGTAATTATACAACATATGCCATTCATTGTAATACATGACAGTGTCTCCACTGACTATTCATCCAAGGATTATCTGAGTAAAACTGCCACCAGTATTAGCAGTTACAGCTTACAGTTTTTAATGGAATGGATAGGAAGAGTTAAAAGGGATTCTGGAAAAAACAAATGCAAACTACACCTGGATTTTCCTATCTCCCTTTTCCTACATCACAGCTCTTACTCCTCAAAACTCAAGTGATGAGGCCTTGTCTGCTTTAAGGAACTTTGTTTAAAACCTGTCACTGCTATAAATACAGGTTCAACTCTACCACCAATGGCAATGTTGGAAACCTTAGCACACATGCTGCTGGCATTCTGAAGACAGTGGGTAATTTTTTAAAAAAGCACCTACATGCTTTTAGATCCTAAATTCCATTTTCAAAAGTGATGTCAGCATTTAAGAACATACGGTCTCATTGACTTGTAAGTTTCTATCGCTATCAGTGATAGGTAGGTGCCTGAGGCTGACATCACTTTTGAAAATGGAAATTAGGCTCCCAAGTCACTTATTCACTTTTAAAAGGTTTACCCCATGGTATCTTACTTTACTCAAGGCAAATCTTCAGTGTGGTGTTTAAACCAACACCATAGCCACAGACTGCCTGCATGTCTTATACTAGTTCCCCCACCATTACTAATGTTGGTACTGTAAAGATTAGTGACAGTAGGAAACTTTTGACAGTCACATTAATTTAGTAGATCTAATGTAAGCGAGGCCAAACCGAGACAGACACTGAGAAATGGACAAACGATTGCTGATCACAGAAATTTCCAGAGCTCAATTCTCTTTTACACACTATTAGTGAAATCATAACATGGAACACGAAAAGCTCAAATCCTTCCAAAGATTCGTGCAGAAGCACTTTCCATGGCTCATGTGTCTGAACTATTCCATTTCAGTAGGCAGCACTTGTGACCTTAACTAATAACTCAGAAGTGACGATATGGCCTTGCAGACCCTGTGAAATTTTACCACCCTTCCCCCCAAAAAATCTGTTACTAAATTGTGAGACCTGATCCAAATATTGTCCGTGATGACACTCCCTTAAACTATAATAGGAATGAGGCTTGATATCAAAACTGCAGGACAAAGTGGCCCCTTTCTCCTGTTAACTTGACTCTCATTTGAACCTTTAGAAAACAGATCTTCTCTTTCCTTATTGTTTTATCTATTTTTTTAAAGAATACTGATAAATGGTCTCATTTGTTTTCCTGAACTGTGTGTTACATGGGTCTCAAAACCCGTAGGCTGTGAGGGCTTTTCACACTTGTGAAGATTAGGCATAAGCATTATGGAGCTCCCCGGGAGTTCAGACATGTCATTTGATCTCCTACTCCATCTTGTGGAGACATTTGGTCAGTGGAATAATAAAAAATGTAATCATTCCTAATGAAGGAATTCTACCTGTTTTGTCTTGCTTGGTTTTATTTTTTTCAAACATCTATATTTTTAAATTAAATCTCTAAAGTCTTTTGTTGTGATGAGAAGTGGTTTTGGGGAAGAGGCTTCCAAAACGCCTAATGTTGGAGAAAATCTACTATTTTAGAACTGCATTTGAACACTATGTAGAACTATAGTGAGTCCCTTTTGAAGGAATAAATAGCTAGTGGTGAAATGCAACAAGAGTTAACCTAATAAGACTGGATCTGTTAAATGAAGACCATGTCCAAGTACAGCTGAATTATCTTAAGAAATTCTCAGGAATCCAGTTTTGTAGTAATTGAATCTGTGCTACTTTAAAACTGTCTTAAAGGTACTGCCTTTATATATAATGTGTGTATTTTGCAGGTATCCAAAACTGATCCATCACCAAAGAGAGAGATGCCCACCATGATTCTCTTTAATGTTGTATTTGCCTTAAGGGTAAGGACTGTTTTTACCCAGGAATAGATTCTGTATTTTATAAGGACTATTAGTTCAAATGACAGTAACATTTCAGTAGCACATGTTCTCTGCCTTCTTTCACTATAAACCAGAGTTCTTCATTTGAAATATGTAAAAACAGTACTAAACATGACACTGAAGATGTATAGTTAGTGATCATAGAAGTCATAAGATGAAGAGTCCTGTCACCTCTTTCAGCCTCTCTCATATGGGTCAGGGAATGATTGTTTCAAATAGGCCATTGACGGAACTTTATCTAGTCTTCTTTTAAATACACCAAGTAATTGGAACGTATTTGTTCATTGGAGATGTGATTTCATAGGTGAATGCGTTTTCATTGATGGGAAACTTTTTTCCTCATAGAACAAATGTTAATTGCATCATTACTCTGAGTTATTTCATGTGTTCCAACGAGTATAATCCCTCTTCCCTATACCGATCCACTCCAGTTGTCAATGTACTTAGGCTTTTAATAGTCACTACAGCCACTGATTATTTTATGGGTCTTCACCTCCAGTCTTTTCTTTTGCAGATAAATGTAAAAGTTGAGGTTCTGCTTCATAGTTGAGATTAGTATTGCTGCATATTCTGTATGTTTAGTGGTATATATTGATAATAGGCAGGAATGTTCAAGTATCCCTTGAACAAGAATAGAAAAGACTAGGTGCAGCAAGGCCAATGCAATATTGCTGTGAAAACCTCAATTTGTACATATCCTGACTTTTAAGATGTTAAATTGTAATCTTAAATTATTGTTTGCCTATTGATATACAGATGAGAGAGACATTTCCTGCCTCAAATGAACCCTTGTATTATTTATAAGACTATTCATAGATCCCAGTGCTAGAGGCACAGGTATGTTGCTTCCAAGCACAGTGTTACTGCCTCTGAAATGTGGAGTTGTTAATGTATTTGCTGTTAATTGATAGGCATTTCTGTAGTCCTCATTACCATGGTGTCAGAGTGCTTCATGGCATTAAAGATGCGTCACGTACATGTGCACTTAATGAGCCACGCTGGTTTCTTTATGCTGGCAGCACATGTGTACACTGGAGATCCACTTGTTGTTCCACTTGTTAGGAGGGCAATAAAGGGTTGGATGTTGTTTTCAATCTAGAGGATAGTGATCTTAACGGGTGCATAGTGGCTTAAACTCTGCTTGTGTGTGTGAAGTTCTCTGCACGCTTGGTATGCTTGGAAATTTGAATATACATGAGAATTGGTGCTCTCTCAATAAAAAGCATACTTTGTCAGAGACTTGAGGGAATAAAGGAGGCCTGACCAGGCTAGAGGTGTGCTAACCTTCAGTTCAAGGTCTAGGCGTATAGAATACGAATGAACAGCCTGCATGTGTAAGTAGACGTGCTCTCCAGGAATGTGTGTTCACATTTAACAGTATCCCTCCTTGGCATTCTGGATGCAATTGTCAAACATCCTTAATGAATTTCCAGCTGACTTTTCTCAAACACCTGTGAATATACTCTTTATCAAGCATCTGAAAGGTCAGATCCCAAAACTCAGCATTTTTGAATAATCAAGTCTTTTTTTAAGCTTAGCAGGCAATCTGTTTATAAGAAATAATGAACAGCAGGAAGTGTAGCTGTTATATTTTGCAGTGAAAATTTCCCCCATGCACACACAAATCAAAAAGCAGCTGAAGAGGCTGTCCTCAGAGTAGAAACCATAAACAGGCACAATTCAAGTATGGAAAATTTCAGCGCAAGAGGCTAATTTTTCAAAATTTAGGAGTGAAAATTGATATATGAAAACAGTTTGGCCATCTTAAGTATAGCATGTACTGAGCAATTCAAATTCTGAAGTAAAAGCAAAGTAACATTTCCTGGGTTCTGTCACAGTGACTAATTAGCAAATACACTCAGAAGTTAAGGGATAATTAATGCATATATCACAAGAATCAAGGCACCAAGTTTAGGCTATGTTTTTAGATGTGAAGGGACTTGGGAGTCCCTTTCTGTCCGTAACACAGCTTTCTGGAATGAGTCGGGTTGTGTGCCTCTTGCATCAAGAGGTTCATGGTTTCATCTGTATCTGGCCTTTTACTGGAGGTGGTGTTTGGTTTGCTGGCCTTGCTACCCTTGTCACATTCAGGAGAAATTCCGGGTTTGTGGGAGAAGGGCCTCGGATTTCTACAGTGAAATTACTAGCTCTCTTATAAACCCTTCTGTAGTGACATTTCAGAAGAGCTTTCTTTGTTGCCCCAAGTCATACTGTAGTGTTTTTGAGAGAGTCCCTGATGGACATATTTAGGAGTATTTATTTGAATTTGATAACATTTTAAATGTGGGATCTTTTTCTATTAGTGTGAGCCAAGGTAAAGAAGGCATCAGGCAATGGTTGAGTCTTAAGTTCAGAGTGGCAGATACTGTGTAATATTATCAGGAGCGACTTATTACAGGTCAATAGCCTAAGTCACAAAACCGTTTTTCTCTCTTCTGGTCAAGCCTGCTGAATTTTACTTAGTCACATAGTGAGGCTCGTATTTAGCCCATACATTCTGGGAGGGGGTTTGCTCAAACACTCATTCTGATTCTAACTTTGTAGTACAATTGCTATAGTCTTTAGAGAAGCCTAATTCATCCTCTTTCATTGCATAAAAGCTGCCATGTGTGAAACTAGCATTTGATTTCCCAGCTCTGGCTTTCCCTTCCCAATCCGTAAGCCTGAGTGTTGTAGAGGTAGCACATTGTGTGTGTGTGTGTGTGTGTGTGTGTGTGTGTGTGTGTGAAATGCATGAATATGAGCTAAGAAGACTTACATGAAGGATTAAGGGAGTTATACCCAAGAAAACTAGGCCTTTTGTAAAGCAATTTGTTGTGATACAGCCTCTGTGTGGGACTCTTGAATTCATGTCCAGAAATGGAAAAGAGCCTTTTAACTCCCTACTTTCCCCAGTTGATAGAGCACTGTCAGTGAAACAGATTTTTCAGTTACATTAATATGTTTTTTGCTGTTGGCTTTTTTTTGTCATGACTGAGTTCTCCCTGATGAAGACAACAGGGGTTTCTGCTTTCTCTCTTCAGAGAGTTAAAATAGAGAGAGAATGGTCCCAGAATTGAATTAAGAAAATCTAAAATATATAAACATCATTCTGAAGCTGGCTATGTTGAAAACATTGCTCATTTATTCACATGTTGCCATCTTGATGATTTTTGCAGTGAAGCCATTGACTTTGGTGTAGTTTGAATTTCTGTAGGATCTAATTTCTAATGGCCTTGTTACAGTGAGTAAAAGCAGAAACTCTGGCTTTGAAATACAGCCATTTATTTTGCCATTTAAAAAAATAACATTCCCTTCATAGAAAACTGAGACTGGAGCACACAACATGTAAAGCAAGCAGAATTTGTCTAACATAGGGTTACTGCTGCAGACAACTTCACCAAATTGTGGGTGGAGGTATTTTAAGATAAAGGTGAGAGTCCATCTGCTGCAGACAGACAACAGGCTAAGACCCAAATGTTATAATCAGTAGTGATCCTGCTTGTGCTAAATTTCAGCCCTACCAATGTGTCATGACTCAGCAAAAATGTTGGCCTGTAAAAATGTCGATTCATGGTTTTCTAGTTTAGATGCCAAGTTATCTGCTGCCTGAACCTTAAATTCCTTTAAAATGTCTTAACAAACGTACAGCAGCTGCTTACTGCACCCTTCCTGGCTTAGGAACAGCGAGCCCCACCTTATCAGCTGTCTCTGACAGATAGGCTTTCCAGCCCTTCACATACAAATTAAATGTTTTAAATAATTAATATTTTTGAGATGTATGGAAACATAAATCCAATTCCATTTTCTCTGGGATTAAAAATATGGTAGTGCCTTGTTAGTTCTTCAGTGATTAGTATAAAAGGTTGAAAATGCCAAAAGTCCATTGATATGCAAGATCTGAATGTTGGGACATGTATTTTCACTATATAGCTCTGCTCTGGAGCCAGATCTTTGCATGATTAGTCCCTATTTCTGTGGGTTACCAGGCTTTGATTCAGGTGAAGAGAATTAAAATAATGGTGGCTGTGTGACTTGTTGTCTGAGTAAGAAGCTGCTGCCTAAAGTTACACTAAAATTAATAAAACAAACACTGCTGCTACAATGTGGAAAGGACAGGCTGAAACAAAAAACAGGACTATGTAGCACTTTAAAGACTAACAAGATGGTTTAATAGATGGTGAGCTTTCGTGGGCCAGACCCACTTCCTCAGATCAAATAGTGGAAGAAAATTGTCACAACCATATATACCAAAGGATACAATTAAAAGGCTTGTTGGAAAAGCTGTCATCCTTTATATTTCCAGTACTTTTGTATTGGAATGTATTGATATTAATTTTTCAGTCATTTAAAATTTCCTTCTCATCAGTTTCTCTGGCGATCCCACCTCATTGTTTTCATGACTGTTTCTAGGCCTTAGTCACGTGTGATGGACTTGCTGTAGTTCTGGATCTCTGTCCTTCTGTCTTATAACTGTGTGAGAAATCTCATTTCTCTTGACAATCACCAGGAAAGTTGATCTGCAGCCTAACTATTAAAGATAATTCATTATCTTTAATGTAAATTATTAAAAATAATTTGTCCAGCAGTGCTGCGCTATTCAGCTTAATTTCATGTATTTGGCAACTATTGAATTATTGACCAGGTCTATTCCTTATTGCCTGTAGGCCAATGCAGATCCATCGGTGATAAACTGTTTACATAATCTCTCTCGTCGAATTGCCATAGTTCTACAGCATGAGGAGCGTCGTTGCCAGTACCTGACCAGAGAGGCCAAGCTGATCTTAGCCATTCAGGATGAAGTATCTGCCATGTCGGAAAGTGAGTTCTGAGCTCAGGCTCATGGGGAGCTTATCTTAATGTAAGATACTCATTAAATTGGACAATAATTGACTAATTCACTTAAATGCAGATTACCATGGTCCAAGAATATTAATATTTTATGTTTATAATGAGAGTGAGTCAGTAGCAGGAATCAAAACTGGGTTACAAAGTGACTTATTGAGCAAACATTTTATGTTTAGAGCCTTGTATTCCCAGCCTGCTTGGGGATCATGTGTAAGATCAGAATCTTATGTTATGTGCAAAAGAGGACTAAAAGCCATCTCTTCCATGTTCTGCTGGAGAGAAATTACCTAGAATGTAATTGCCAGATTATGGTGCATTTAAACAAGTGAGCAAAAAAAGAATGAGACTTGTTCGTTTTGGAACGGAGTTGTTTAAAAAGGAATACTGCCACAGTGTAAAATGTTCTTCTCTATAAGCTTAATTACAATAGATCCCCATTGTTAAAGCTATGTGGAGAGTGGTGGTATGCTTGAAATCAGCTATGATATTGTGTGCCAGCTAGTAACCCTAAGAATCCCTGCTCCTAAGGTGTGGGAGTTTGTGCCCAGATATGTTTTCCCACAAAGTAGGGGTTGTACAGGAAAACACACGGAGACTTTGCTATAATCGATTTCCTGATTTTTCACTATGATTTTCAGACAAGGTAGGAGAGGTAATATCTTTAATTACTTCTGTTGGTTAGACACAAGCTTTCGAGTTTATATAGAGCTCTTTAAAGGTATTGTCTCGCTAATATCCTGGGACACACATGGCTATAACAATGCTGCGTGCTGTGTATGATTCAGTTGAACAAACAGGCCTTCTCTGGCCTTGTGTCTGCTTTTCCCTTCCCCTTGTAGCCCCTGAGATGACTCCTCTCAAGCTCTTAAAACGCTGATTCCTGCTAAAGACTTCAAGGTGTATGCAATCTTTCAAAGAGCTCTGTTACTGCAGAACTTTTTGTGCTTGTCATTTTATTTTGTTCATTTGTTTAAGAAAACTGAGTGAGTGAGTGAGTGAGTGAGTGAGTGAGTGAGTGAGTGAGAGAAAAAATATTTCCTTGCAGAGCTGAGAAGAGGTTTGTCACTCTTTTCTGGGTGGGTTTATTGTTGTTGATTTGTGGTCTATAGTTATACATTCAGCATACAGTGTCACTGAAAATGCTGATGCTGAAAGACCAATCATAATGCAGCAAGATCTTAGCATTGGAACATGTTTGCACTATGTGGCTTTGCCTACGGTCAGAGTTTGCTCGTGATCCTTTGTCAGGATTCCTGTGCATAAAATCTTGCAGTGGTTGCATGAACTGCAGCTGAAGTAAACATCTCATAGTTGACATAGCTTACCAGTCTGTCAGAGCCCATCTTTGGTGTTTGCAAAGGATATTTATATTTTAGTGTGATATTTTTAAAACACAGAACAATGAAAACTGCAGTTTGCAGAAGAATAAAGTACTCCCCAGATACAGCTCTTCTGGTGTCCCTGAAATCTCGGTGTAATTTGATTTCCCCCTCCCCCTCTTCTCATGCTTTTGGGTACAAACAAAGGGCACTCTGTGAATGGGGCCAGTTTGAATTTGGTTCTGTTACTTTTATTGTTCTGACTGCCTTTGACAACACTTTACCTTATCCTCTCTGATGTCACCTGTGTTGCATAGAGATGCCAGCTCCACAAGTGAAGTAGTCAGTTTCTTTTGTGATTAGCTTTGCTCTTGTCATTCACTAGGGATTACAAGGGATAGAGTTTTGCACTCTATTGCATTTGCTATCCAGATGTGGTAAAGCCCCCCCCCCCCCCCCCCCCCCCCCCATGTGACCCTGAATCCCAAGTTTTCTGGTCATCCTCAAGAGGATGTTTTGTTGTGGAAGCTCCATGCTAGTGTATATGATTACGTGTCACTGTTTTGTCCTGTTATGAAGATATGCCCCCTTTTAAGGTTACTCGGTAAAATTTTCAAAAGCACCCGTCTCTCATTTTCAAAAGCACTTTGGAGCCTGTGGTCTTGTTGAAAGTCAATGGGATTTAGGCACTTCTGAAAATCTTATTTGCTCTGTTGTAACGTAAGAATCCCAATTCTGCTGAGAGTAGCTGTAATAGCTCATGCAACAGGCTTAAAGCATGGAGTCAATTTCTGCTAACAAACCAGCATTAATCTCTTAGGTGTGTAAATGCCAAACTTTACTTACACAGGGACACAACATGTTTTGTCTTGCTACAAGCATGAAAAACTAAAACGTAGATGTAAAAACATAGTAGTTTCTCATCAGATAAATGAAAAGGCCTAAGGCTGCATAAAGTTGGTATTAAAAAAGAGTGGTGACTTTTTACAGTTTTTTACTTAAAACAATGTGGAGTAAACAGACTTGAATATCATTGTCTAATATCTCTGCAGAGTCTATTGTGCAGAATTCAGGTGACTGTCTGAAAGCAAGGCTTTTCTGATTTGAAAACAGTTGAGTGCTTTCTTGTTTTAATACTTCCATAGCAGCAGAAGGTCCACAATCACCTTTCCATCATATTCTACCCAAGTGCAAGCTGGCCAGAGACCTCAAGGAAGCTTATGACAGGTAAGAAGAATCCTCCTGGTAACCAGTGGTCCTCTGCTTGTTGATTAAATGTCTTTGACCTGTGTGTAATCACTAGCTCCATGTGGGGAAAAGGGATCTCTGAACTGGGGGCGTTGTCAGATAAATAGAGCAGGAAGGTTAACTCAGTATTTAAGATTCTTGCGTGGGATTCTACAGGCCAGACTTCAAGTCCTTGTTCTGCCACAGACTCACTGAGTAACTTTGGTTAAGTCACATATTCTGTCTGGACCTTAAATTCCCCAGCTACAGAACAAGGGTAATAGCACTTTTCTACCTCACTGGGTGGTTGTGAGGATAAATTCATTAGACGTATACTTAGATACTACTGCAGTGGGGGCCAGAGAAGCATTTTGGATAGGAATGATTGTCCAGTTTTTTCTACGTTATTTAAATTGCTTGTGATCTTAAACTTCTGGAAGAAATTTGGGCCCCTTTGAAAGAAACTTCAGGAATTATGTGAATCTCGTAAGCATCTCTGAGTTAATTTCAAAACACTTTTCCTGACCTGGATTTGAATAACATTTCACCCAGTTTCTTCCTTTTAAAAAAAAAAAACTTCTGGATTATTTATTTGACTCCCTCAGGTTGCCACTTCATTTAGACTATGGTGTCTGCCCAGTAATACAGTGACACCTAATGGCTGAGAATAGTAACTGAGAATTTTTACTCTAGGACCAAAACTCATGTGAGGACAGAAAATCCTTAGTGGTGCCCATTAGCATCATCCGTTAAGTGTCAACCAGTGGGGACTGGAGCAGCTCCCCACCTGCCACGTTGGATGAGGCCCACTGCAGGCAGGGACTTCTCTGGCATTTGGAATAGCCCCTGCCTGCAACATGCCTGGGCTCGTTGTGGACAGGGCCGGGCTGGAGCAGTGTCTTCTTTGCGATGCATCTGGGCCTGCCGCTGAGTGGGCCAGGCTGGATCAACCCCTGCTTGTGGTGGTGGGGGGGTCACTCTAGCCTGGCCTTGGCGGGTGAAGGGACTGCTCCAGGCCACTGGGACTGGAGTGGCTTCCCTGGCCATGCCCCCTTTAATCTGTTAACTGATTAAACATAGTGCTTAACTGATTAAACAGGATTTTACATCCCTACTGCCCATCTGATTTCTCCAGCGTACTAGCAGCTGCCATCCAGTGAGAGAGACTTGGACTGGGGCAGTAGACCACCTCCCAGCCCTCATCCATGTTGTGGTGTAAACTTCTCCCACATTCTCATCTTGACCTAGAGCATTGTCCAATGGACTCCTCTTTGATTATTTTACCTAGCTTATTTATCATTTTAAGGTGTTACCAGACTGTTCCAGCTAAAGCTGGAATGAACTTGTTTGTTTTCCTCACCAGTTGCTGTTTGCTATATATCTTTAGAGTATGCTTTTGTGGCAGTGTGTCAGCATCACTGTAAAATTACAGTTGTTTACAAAATGATATGCTTTTTATCTGTGTAATTAGTCTGAGGCGGGCAAAGGAATTAAATAGTTATAAATCTTGATACAGTGGTAGCCAATTGCATGAGTTTGTCATTTTCCTCCTCAGCAAAGCACCATGATGCACTAGATAGGGCACATGGAGTTGCAAGGCAGGTTCTGGTTCTGGTTCTGCTAGTGACTCACTTGGGCGAGTCTCTCAAGTGAGTCAGAAAGATCCACTGATTTTTGGATGCCCTGTTAGAAACATCTTGGACCTGATTTTCATTAGTGCCAAATCTCTGAGTGTGATTAATTTGAAGCTCTGGTGCTATCTGAGGGGGATGCAATTGTTTCAAAGTATTTTTCTAAAAGGTACTTCCCACTAGATGGCACTGAAGTACTTCAAGCCAGATCTAACCTATCCCTGGTGCATCTGTGTCATGAGATGTATAAAAATCTGAACTTTTGTCACAGCTCAAAATGCTGTTTTAAACACAGAATTTGGTATTGAGATTCTTATACCCTTTTCATACAACTCTGCTTATAATGTGGCCAAAAACAATGGCTTGAAGGCCAAGATACCTCAGTTCCAGCTTATTTCTTGGATGTTTCTCAAATTTTACAAAGCAGCATCTCTCATGAAAACCTAAATCCTCCCATTACTTCAAATTAGGGGTAATGCTTTCCAGGTAATGGCTGTTACCGGAGAGCAGCTCTCCACCTATAGGCTGGGAGTCAGCAACCTTACACAGTGGGAGGTGGGGGCTGCTGGCTCCCAGCCTATGCGGATTTGCGGGAAGGGTGCAGGCTTGTGCGTTGGGGAGGGGAGGGTTGTCAGCTCCCAGCCCACTTGAGCCTGCTGACTCCCAGTCCGGGGGGGCGGGGGTTTGGGAGCCAGGAGTTTTCCCTTTATCCTCTCCCTTTCCCCTCCTTCCTCCCGCAAGCTGGAAGCCAGCAGCTCAGAGAGATGGAGCACCCCTGCCTGTGGCACAAGGCTTGCTCCAGCCTGTCTGTGATGGGCAGGGGGGCCAGCCCAGCAGGCTGGAACAGACTCTCAGCCTGCCCCTGTTTAATCGGTTAACTGGTTAAACATTAAATTTAAAAGGTTAATTAATTTAACTAAATGGGATTTTACATCCCTAAATTTGGAGTAGGTAACTCAACAGACTGTTGGTTTGCCATAGTTTAAACTGCAGCTGCAGAGAACGTTTGCTTGGATTACACCAGCCACCACTTAATATTTTCTTCTTCAAAACCTCTGTCTTTATTTAGCAGCGCTCTTCTGTTTCCATCCCTCTCCAGATGTTTTTTCATACATCAAAAGCAGCCACACGCTTTCAGACGGACTGATTTCTTTTAGGGGGGTGACAACCAAAGCAAGAATGAACAAAAAGAGGACATCTTCATGAGGGTGGTGTCTCTTTTCTATTAACATTTTGTTTCAGCTTTGACTCTCAAAATGTCAGATGTCCCCACAAGACAGGCAGACTTTGTAGAAATTTAAAGCTGGAAAACCGATTAAATGTAATAGCTATTAGAGACCCCACAAATGGGTTTTGAGACAGCAAGCTTTTCTAGAAGACTAGGTCAGTGTGTGGCAGATTGAAAGTTCCCTGGTGTGAACCCTTCAGTGCACAGTAACAGGGTCCACATGACCAGTTAGTGTGTGACTTGCTAGTATGCAGTAGATTTACACCCTACCTTGCAGTAGTACTGACTAATCATCTAGTTGAGCCCAGAGACTACTTAAGGCACAAACTGGTCTCTCTGGATCAGTAAAAGAAGCTATTACAAGATCAATAGAATTCTATTACCACATGAATTAGGCTGATGTACTGACACAATAACAGCTAGGCTGCATGGCAGTGCTTGGTACAAAAGCTGTAAATAACGGATAACAAAATAGTGTACATGCAAAGAGAGGTATATCTTATTCAATGCTCCAGATGGCTACTGCTTTATATTGCAAAGAGAAGACTACCAGCACAATTCTATAATCCTCTTCCTAGAACATTTTGAATAGCATCAAATAAGCATCTACACGTAGAGCGTCCTATAGACATGAAGTGCTGTAAAAAGGTGAGTAGATATAATTATGTATAACTTGCAAATGGAGAAACAGATGCAGAAGTTAAGACCATAATTTCCATAAGTAGCTATTAATTTTCGATGCCCAGTTTTGGATATATTGGACCTGGCTTAACACAGGCACTCAGTACTTGTGGAGAATTAAATTGGAGCTCTGGTGCTCGTCACCTCTGAAAATCATGTTCAAGGCATTATTGTGGGCAACCTCCCACTAGCCCAGATTTAGGAGCCTGTTTCTGCTTAGCACACTCTCCTCTTGTTAGCATCCCCTGTTGGCTAGCTTAAGTAACTCCGTGACTAGGATGCTGTCTTTTGTGGATTGCGTTTTTAGGTATCAGTCTTTCCCTGTTCATTGTTCAGGGAGCTAAGGCACCTAACTCATTTTTGTAGATCACAGGTTTTTCTAGGCACCTAAAAATTAGATGCTTTTCCAGTATCCTAAGTTCCTTTGTGGATCCTACTCCGAATAATTTGTTTTGCGCGTTATGCTTTTATTTTAATGTGTCCTTTCAGGATTGTAAATAGTGTGAGGGAATATTCTATCCAGAATACCATTTGTTATTTTTAAGAGTTCACTCTTGATGGCATCTTCCCAACAGTATGTCAATTACAGGTAAATCTGCTAGGCCTTCCTTAACCAGGGTAAACAAGTGTGTGTTAAATTTCATTCTTTAAGTCCAAGAAAACCCAGGGAGTTTTTGAGTACTGTGGTGTAACCTTGGATACTCTTTGAAGGTTTCTGGCTGCTGACTGGATGTGGGATTGAGGAGTGTGTGTGACTGGCATCCAACTCTTAGTGGCTTCCATATAAAATTCTCAATTTACAAATAATGGATTTTTCGAACTACCAGCTCTTCAAGTTCAGCCTAGGATCTGAGAGTGAAGCTATAGTCTTTCTGCAGCTCAAATCATTGTTAGTAATAATGATTCTGTATTAAGATCTTGTCTAATGATTTTGGTGCACCACACAGAACAGAATCTTGTTTGCTCCACTACTGCTGTGTTATGGGGTGCAAGTACCTGCACCTCAGCTAAATCTGCAATATGGCTTCATTTGAAAGCTGACACTTCAGACTTCTCCAAACACTACAAACAATCAGATAAACTTGAACATTATGTTAATTCATACCATGGGTTGCAATATTTGGTGTAAATTTGACCCATGCTCAGACCTTGAGCTCTGGCTTCCACATTGCAATGCACAGACCCGGGTCAAAGTAAATCTGTCCTAAAGTATCTAGCATCCTCCTTCTCCACCCCATGCTGAGCAACCTTAAAAACATGGAAACTCTTCTCTCCACCTGGTTTCCTAACTGCAGTGGTGCTATTAATGGGACTCGTGTGTCCATAAGGATCATGGGAGCACATTCATGACGTAATTAGCTCCTTTTGGTGGCTGTCTCAGTAGAGACTGCAATTTGAGAAGGCTTTATACTGAACTACCATCTAATCTCAGAATTGGGCTTGCTAGCTCCAGGCTGTGTCACATTGGCAGGAAAAATCCCATATGCCCCGTTCAGAGAATAATTAGAAAATCTATTTAAATGAAACTGCAATGTTTAATCTTTAAAGTTATATTTACAATGAAGATGTGTGGTTTTTAAAAAAAATGTTTGTTTGCTTTGAAGTTTGACATAAAATGAAGGTATCAGAGGGGAAAAAAACAACATATGTTCTCTTTCTTCCCCTTCCCAGCTTGGCTGCTGCCAAGCGTTGAAGTGCATCCCCAAGGCTTTAAGTGCAGCGTGTAATGTGTTCTGCACAGAGATAATGGGAAATGTTTGGTCCTTTTGTGTGAAACTTTTGTTGCTAGATTTGCTTCTGCTGAAATCTAGTGTCTGATACAAAGAAAAAGCATAGCTCTAAAAACTAACAGTTATTGAACTTTGGTTTCTGGCTCCTAAAATTAATATTAATGTTCTTGTGTTCCTGTTTGTACACTTACCACTGCAGATCTCTCTGCTGTACTGGTGTACAACCCTTTGATTTAAAATTTTTAAACTTTAAAAAAAATTAGCAAAAAATTTCAAAAATATATAATGGAAGCCATAAGTTTTCTGTATTGACTGAAAGCCTGGCCACTTAGGGCTCTGAATGTTGTTAAGTAGCTAATTTTAGGTGCCTGTTTTGAGCACCCTCTGCTCTGCACTAGCATCCTCAGCAAAGCAGCTTTCAAACAACCAGTTTCCATTGGTCAAAAATATGGCAGTTAGTCAGCAGTCAGGAGATTGGTGTGACCCCTTCTTTCACTGTATTTAAGTTGCAAACGGTCAGTTCCCAAAGGATAGCCGTGGATTTGCAGAAGTGATGCTCCATAAAATGCCATTTTCTGTTGGGTTTTGTGGAAGTGAGATTTAGGCAAAGACTTCTTTATTCCTAGTGTTTTGTGGTTTTGAAAATCCAGGGGAAGTGGGATACTGACTACCCTGATCCAAACCTCTTGAGGTTGATTAGCTCCCTCTTTTTTGGCATGTACTGTTTAGTTTGGTCAGTTTTAAGAACTTTGTTGGTGAGCATGTTTGGAATACAGCTTGTCGGAAAAATAACTTTTAGTTAGAATTTTTTAAAAAATATTGTGTAATGTAGTTTAAAAAAAAACCCCAAAAATGTAATCCAAGGAGAACTGAGTTTTGTTGGGTGATTTCAGTGATTCTGAATCCAGATAAAGACAATGATTTTCAGGTTATGTTTTAGAAACTGTTTAATGTAAATTCTGATGTCAAATGGCTGGGATGGGTCATAAGTTTGGATTTTTTTCCTTATGGCATGAGCCATTACATTAGTGTCACAAGAAATAGCTTTTTAAGCTGACATGTTTATAATTCAGAGAGGATGTGGGATGTCTTACATAGGTTGCTTATACTTAGATGGCGGTGAAGAAATTAGTGAATTTCCTAAAGACCTAGAGTAAATATGTCACTGTCTAAAAACAAGAACAAAGATCTGCATGAGTGAAGTTAGCTGCCCCAAACTACCTGCTTCCCAAAGGTATTAAATAAAAGGTACTTTACGTAAAGCTGCTATCCAGACAAACCCTGGGATCAGACTTCATTATCATTCCTAAAGTGCATATTCTCTCCACTTTAATCCTGTTCTTTTGGGCAAGTTGTGGTTTCCTAGAATGAAGGACCATTTAACAGCAACTTTCATGATTTCATGTAACAAACATGAGCAGGTCAATGGGAAACAAACCAACTAGATAGGACCTATGGAGTCAATGTTGTGGTAACATGTTACTCTGTGATGCCCACCATGGGGTGTGGGAACTTTATCATGTAGTAAAACAATAATGGAAAAATTGAGCCTAATTCATCCTTGCCCTGTATGCCATCCCCACCCCATCTCTCCCAGAGGCACAGGGCCTTTGCATTGCATTTACAGGAGATCCTCCTCCCTCACTAGTGCATTGGTGAGGACTAACTGGAGGTGGAGAAGGAGAGGGTTGGGGCATTCTTATGATTCTGTGACCCTGCAATAGCCTAGAAGAGGCAAATTAAAACAGACTTTATGAACTAGCGTCATATTAATCCCTGGCAGCCACTGAAAGGAGGGAGATGCAGTCTCTCTTCTCTCTCGCTGTGCTGGCACCAGCATGGATGAATCCGGCCCCATTGCTTTTACCCAAGAGAAAGGTAACAAATGCTGTATATTATTATTTATTCTTTTTTTTTATTGAAGTCTGTGTACTACAGGGGTGGTACGATTGCACATCAACAACTGGCTTGAAGTGAGTTTCTGTCTGCCTCATAAAATCCATTATGTTGCAACAAGCTTTATACCTCCTGAAGCAATTGAAAGAAGCCTGAAAGCTATTAGGTAAATAGCTCCCTATGTTCTTCAGCACTTGTATGTTTTTGTGCCTCTTTAACATTTAACTTCTTGCCCTTTGTTTTTTGATTGTCCCAAACATTCTACAGCTTTTCTTGCTGACAGATGTTACAGAAATTAATGAAGGTGGACTTTTTTTGTGCTCCCAAATCTGAGAATGGACTGTGGGTCTTAGTGATGTGGTGTGAAAATTAGAGCCCATTTTGGTTCTTTAAGTGATGATAGTGAGCTGAAACCAATCTCTGTGCCCCCAGCCTGTTCTCTTGTGCCTAGATCTATTTTCCAGGTATTTGTGGCATTATTATTGACTAAACACACTCTGTGGTAATGCTGAGGTTTTAAGCTAGTGTCTGCATTGTTTACAGTTTAAGATCTTGTCTGAGAGGTTATTGCAAAATTTTCCCCCATTCAAAACGCCATTCTTCAAAATGCTTCATTTTAACCATATTCATGCTGAAGTGTTCTCTTGTCAATATCACAGTTCTATGAAGTAACTAAATTACAGAAGGGTTGGTATTTCCTGAGAGTGTTGTACCATTTTTGTTTCCCGCTATTCTATGGAGATTTAGCCATGAAAGTCACCTGCTGTGTTACTTTCATTTTAGTGCTCATTTCTGATGATTAGAACATAATGAGCTCTGTCCCTGCATCTTTGGGAGCACAGTCTGTCCACCTGTCTGGCTAGCCTGTATGCCAATAGAGAACCATCTTTATTTCCAGCTTTTAGGCTTTCCAAATTGTGATGAGGATTAAGATGCCTTTTGACAGAAGGCAGCTAATCTTGTGGCATGAACAAGAATGAACTGACTGGTAACACAGTCCTTCGCTATAGCTATCACAGTATCAGATGCTCTATTTTGCAAGTAGCTTGGCCACATGCTCCAGCTCTGTGCGATAGTGAGAGGCACCTCATCCTTGAAGGAAGAAATTACAGATGACAATGTTCTTTTTGCAGGCCTTACCATGCCTTATTACTACTGAATGATGAGAAATCATTGCTTAATGAGCTCCCAATAGACTGTTCTCCTGCTCTTGTGAGAGTGATTAAAACTACCTCTGCTGTGAAGAATCTGCAGCAGCTGGCTCAGGATGCTGACCTGGCATTACTACAGGTATGAGGAATTGACACTTTCAGTTGAAACTGTTTCAGTTCATTATGTGTTTTCATTCTTAATGTCTGTGGTATTACTGTAGTATTCGTCAATGCAGGTATATTGTTCCTTTACATATGCATAGAATCTATGTCTACACTACCACAGAAAGTCGACCTAAGGTACGCAACTCCAGTTACATGAATAATATATCTAGAGTCAAGTTACTGCAGAGTCTACACTGAGAGGGGCTTGATAGGAGAAATGTGTGGCACCCCCCTCTTGCAGCAGCTCTTAAATGGGGCATGTCAGTGGGGTCTCTGTGCTCTACTGCCTGCAGGCACTATCTCCCAGCTTCCATTGGCTGCAGGGGCGGTTGTGGTGAGGGCACTTAGGGTACGTCTAGACTACAAGCTTTTATCAACAGAGGCTTTGTCGACATATACTGTCGACAAAGAAGCCACTTTTTCGACAGAGAGTCTAGACGCTGTCTTTTGAAAAAGCACAATGTGCATGCAATAGCGCCTTTTTTCGACAGAACTCTGTTGACAAAAGACATTATTCCTCATAGAATGAGGTTTACTGACGTTGACAAAACTGCCAAGTTCTGTCGACGTTATGTCGACAGAACTCGGCAGTAGTATAGATGCCGGTATGGTTTTGTCGACAAAAGGCCAAGGTATTGTAAGCATGCTTATTGTTGCTTGTATTCTCTGGCTATCCATGAAGTTATTTTGAACCATCTCCAGCATGTCTTCAAGTTCCTTTCTCAATTGTGAAACGTATTCTGGCACTGGTTTCCCCTTCTGATTCAGTGCACCCATTCTGGGAGAGCCTGATAAGATCTAGGTGACCCTCACCTTTTTCTCAAATAGAACAAAGTCTATGGACTCTTGAGATACCTCCCTAATTTTTCATCCCAAACTTTCTCTTTTGTTTGCATACATTCCCTGCATAGACTGCAGTGTCCCCATGAACTTTTTAACAAAACCGTGAATTGGGGCAGCCTTCATCTGTTTTAAATCACATATCCTCCACAGTGCTCTGAATAGTGGTGTTGGGATGTGAAATTTTGCCAACAATCTGACAGTCTCCTAAGAGAACCTACTCAGCTGAAAATAGTGAAGCGGGCTTTTGCCACTATGTCAAGCTCTACGTTAAAGCAACTGCTTCTGGATATATAGTGGTCTAATCAATTTCCATCAAAATGTTTTCCCCCTTGAGTTGGCTGGAGCATAGGGGTCTCAGATTTAATGGCACCCTAAGAAATGGATCCTTGATTATAAGGGTCACAGGAGAGCTTTTTGAGACCATACTGACCTCTTTTGGTTCTGTCACAAGACCTGCAATAGTCTCTCATCTCATTCTGAGTATCTGACCAATAAAAATTCCCTTTTTTTTTTTTTTTTAAGTCTTCTAAGTCCCTCAGTGACCAGTGAAAAGACAATGATGGACCAACACCATTAACTCCCCATTATGTGTAACCGGTAAAAGTTTCTTGTAAGGCTTCTTGGAAACTGTTTTTCTCTTGTTCCTTGGGTGCTCAGTGGAGTTTCATATGAAACCTGATTTTGAACTGTGTTCCTGTGAAAGGAGTCTGAATGCAATTACCAGGAAGGGGTGGATTCTGGAGAGAGGAGAGCCTAGGTGGGCTCTTAACAAGCCGCCTTCTTCCCAGGCTCCTCTTTTTTTATTGGGCTTCTGAACCTCTTTCTGTATCTTATGTTCAGTAGATATTCTGGCTTGTATAGGGAATACCTAGGGAATTGGACAGATTAGGGTCTGCACTGAAAGCAGCAGGTGTGTGTGTGTGCGCGCGCGCGTGGTTTTTTAATCCAAAACAGCTTCTCTGATCAGCCCTTTCCCCTTTGACCATTTTTCTCATAAAATCACACATCTTCTCTGATGCTTTAATCACCTTTTTTTGAGGATTCTAAACTTTACCCTATACAGACTGAGGTAATTTGAAACTTGCGAAATATTCCATTCAGCATATATTAAAGCTTGTTCAATTTCCATTTAGTTAAATGCACGTAATGCTTTGCCCAAGAGCTTTGCGGTCACTATGAGGACTTGTCTTCTGAATGTTGTGCAACTGAAAGTCTTTCTTTCAGAAGTAGTATACAGTCTGATTCTTTTGTATGCAGGACATAATTTGTCTCATCTGGGTCTATTTTAGAGAGAGAGAATTCTGGAAGCTGGGGGTTTGTCCTTTGTTTCCCTATTAGCTCAGGCTATGTCTACACTGCATTTTTTGTTTTTGTTTTTGGGGGCTTTTTTCCGGAAAAAGATACGCAAATTGCGAACCGCAATTTGCATACCTTTTTCTGCTTGTTTTTTCTGAAGAGGCTTTTCCAACATTTGGCTCATCTACACGGGTCCAAATGTGGAAAAAACCTCCTCTTTCGGAAGATCTTTTATTCCTCTTAAAATGAGGAATACAGGGATGCCAAAAGAATATGCCCACTTTTTGGAAACTGTTCCAAAAAAGCAGACACGTTCTCTGGACGTGGCACGGTTTTTCCGGGATACCTGGATATTCTGCAGTCTAGACATAACCTCAGATTATGCAGCCTTTCCATCTTTTCATGAGCTTTAAAACAATTTCATGGTTCATTGTTGTGCTTACTCTTGTTGTTGCTTTTCTGCTTTCCTCTCCTTGACTCTTAGGTCAGCTTTGCACCTGTGGGGTTCTTAGTCTTTCTCGATTTTTAGCCACCTCCAACTTTTTGGTTCTGACTCTGCTGACTTCTGGCACGATTTTTCCGGGATACCTGGATATTCTGCAGTCTAGACATAACCTCAGATTATGCAGCCTTTCCATCTTTTCATGAGCTTTAAAACAATTTCATGGTTCATTGTTGTGCTTACTCTTGTTGTTGCTTTTCTGCTTTCCTCTCCTTGACTCTTAGGTCAGCTTTGCACCTGTGGGGTTCTTAGTCTTTCTCGATTTTTAGCCACCTCCAACTTTTTGGTTCTGACTCTGCTGACTTCAAGTTCACTAACTAAACTAGTGTAAGTTGTGTGGCTGCTTCACTGAGTGCTGTCTTTGACCTTGTCTACACTGCAGGTTACTTTAGTAAAATTTACAGTACTCTGGAATATGACTAATCCACGCCCCTAGTGACATAAATTATACTGACCTAAGCACCCATGCAGACTGTGCTGTGTCAGTAGGAGAGCTTGTCAAACTGCTCCCTAGAGAAACAATTGCCATTCGTTCTGTGTATAGCCCAACAGTGTATTATAACTTCTGCCGTAGAGGGAGATAAAGCAAATCTTTGGGCTGGTGCCTTGGAACCACAAAGGTCTTGTATGTTTCCACTGATGAAAGTGGAATTATCCCCTGCATGGTACCCAGGGTCAGTTGAATACAAGCTGCCTTGAGAACAACTTTGGCTCAGCAGAGAGTGTACTGAGATTTTCTGACTGTCCATGCATGCCACTAAACTATAAACTATATTCTAACTAGGCTTCTTAGCCATCCTTTATTGAAAGGAATGTGCTGCCTTTTAGAATTCCACAGTTATTACTGTACATGATGGTTAACATCAGAAATGCTGAAAGTATGGATTGTTTGAAACCTCTCTAAGCTTCTGAAAATCCCCTACTGTCTTTGTTCTCATTCTCTTCGCTGCAGAAATGTGAAATGTACATATTAAGGTAGGCTGGCTCATAGTTGTTTTAGGTGGCTGTTTCACAACCACTAGAGGGAAACCATTGACTTTCTTCAAGTGCTAGGAATACTTTCAGTAGCTCATCAGTGAAATAATGCACTGATTTAGCAAGTAATATTGGCTTTTCTAATATTAGCAGAGACTGAAGAAGTGACATGAATTCTTATCTCCTGGTTAAGGAAGTGACCAAAATAAATTGTAGGATATGTCTACACTATACGTCTACAACAAAAGTCGCAAAAAATACTGGTTTTCGGGACAAAAAGCTTCCACCTTCATGAGGGACTTTTGTCCGTCCTCCTCCCTTTACTGTCCACAGTCATACAGTGTGTACTACAGGAGGCTTTTTTCCGAATTTATTGAACTCCAGGATATTTCCCACAATACCCATTTAGCCTCTCTGGCCAGTTCTTTGAACTTTGCTGCTCTGCAGCCACATAAATAGGTAAACAGAAAGGCGCCCCTCCCCTTGCAAGCCATGGGTACTTTAAAATCCATTTCCTGCTGGTTGGCTCAGCATGGAGTGCTCCTCATGGCATCTTCTCAGGGAAATAGGGTTGGCTATTGTGCAAGATCCTACTTGGAGCCCCCCAGAGCTTTTGGATCTTATCGGTGTGTGGGGTGAAGAATCGCTGCAATCACTACTGCGAGTGACCCGTAGAAACTGGGATACGTACGGACACATTTCTCATGCCCTGTGTGAGAAGGGATCTTGAGTGAGAAACTCTACCAGAAGGTGAAGTAGGCAAACCACCAATTGGGTGCTTCATCCAAGATGTGCCATCTTTATAAAGAATGGGATGCAATCCTGGGTAGGGACCCCACATCTTCAGGCAAGGACCCTGTGGAGACTTCTTGTGGCACAGGGACAGCAAAAACGGGAATTAAGCTAGAGAAAGAAGCTCCTGATGAAGAGGTGGAAGCGGATGAGAAGGAGGGGCTAACTACAGGGTTACCTAGTGAGTCTCAGCAGCTGGACATAGAGCATGAAGAGATGCAGGGTACTTGCTCTGTTGCAGCGAGAGGAGGATGAGGGGGGTGGCCTGGGCCAGCATTATGGCCAAACAGGACAATGATGCACACCGAGCTATCAATAGAATCTTGCAAGGAGATGGTATCAATGCTTTTCCTGACGTACTTACTAACTTTCTTATGGAGATTCCGTGGCAGGGCTGCCATTTCTCCACCTGGCCTGTGGACAAGTGTAGGATTATTACAAATTGTTTCTGGGTCCACCTGTTGCTCAAGCATAGCATATACGTTTTTGTGCCATCATGCCCAACCTTCCTTTCCCCCCAGCTCCCACCTTCAAACACTCTGATCATGGTGCCTGCAGCCAACCCC